TACCACTGAATATATGTGTTTAAATATACGTAAAGTGCATCATTAGTTAATAAAGAATATAACATAGACTGTTATTATCACTAATATGAAGAGTACTGTGTATCTCAGGGAACAAGAAATTGCAACTGGAGTTTTTCAATATTAAAAGTTAATAAAAGTATTTTTTCTTTCTATACTTTTTTGACAATTAGACAATTTGTGATGCATATATGTATTGTTTTGGAAGTTACAGGATATCAACATAATATTTTGCTATCAGGACCCTCTTGTATTTTCCGACTGAATAACAAACTTTTAATACTGAAAGACTCCGGTTGCAATTTCTTGTTTCCTTAGATACACAGTACTCTTCATATAAGGGATGATAACAGGCTGTTTTATAATCTTTATTAACTAATGATGTACTTACCTATATTTTAAACACAAATATTCAGTGGTACTTTAGGCATTTGGCACTTTATAACTGTTTATGCACTTTTACTTGGTGAATAGAATGCTGAGCTATTTTTCAAATATTCATTTATTAATGTGCTACATATATTTCTATTAGTCATGCATACCTTATGACTTGACCAATAGTGGCAATATTATATGAAAACATTTCAATCTCTTTTGCATTAATATTTTGTCAAGTGCGGTATCATTTGGTAATTTTTTGTTATATATTTTGGTGGTCCATGGAGGGTAACCTCGATACCTGCACCATTATTAAGCTGAGTGCAAGTACATTCTGGATTTTTTGGGCTTTAAAATTATCTGGCATAGCTTTGGGACTGTTTGTAACAAGGCAATAATGTATAACCTCTATACTGAGAGTTTCAATAAATATATATATATCTATCTATATATAATGATGTGCTCCTTCAATGCTCTGTGCAATTACAGGATGTGACATTGTGTCAGCATGTGTTAGGAATGGAAAAAGTAAAGCCTGCCAGACTCGGTGCTAATGCCGGCATGCTCATCACGTAACATTTAGGAGAGAAAAATAACTGTACATGCCATTAAGAGGGGCCTTGTTATACTTGAGTATTGGACAAGCCATAGCAGAGATATACTCCCAAAGCCAGAAAGAAGAACATTATCAAAGAGGGTTACTATGGAAAGAATTCCACTAACTCAAGACACTTTCAACAGCATGTTAAAATGGCTGTCTGCCAGGGTGGTCACATCTGGGGACTTACATTGTTTCTAGAACTGTCAATCATTCTCTGACATGCTGGTGGTAGATTAAGACAAATGGACTAAATGTGTCTCATTGGATTTCACTTTTAGAAGTTACATATAATTGCGTGTAGTTCTCCCATGTCTACATTATCTTCTGAAATGCCACTGCATATCCTGGAAAAATTATTTTAGCAGGGGGAGTTTGTTTTACAAAACAATATGTATAATGCACAATATTTCTGCTTATTTTGTCTTTGGCATTAATTTAAGTCAACTGTTTATGAGATTGCAGGCTTACAAAAAAATTATTTAAGAACATTAAAGTAAAAATTGTCTCTATGAAATATATATTTTTAGCACTCACTTGATTTGTGCATTATCATAAATAATAGAGTATTTCAGGCAACATATCCACATCATGTCATTGAAGTGGTTATGGTGCATGCAGTCCCCTGGTGATGTATTACATTATAATGTTAAAGTGTCTATTACAGAAGTAGTGTCCCTGGCTCCCCAGACATGTGCCTCTCCTTTATTGCTCTGGCTAATGCAACAGAGTTAGCTTGAGCAACAAAGAAGTGATAAGCTAAGAGTGATTTTTTTCAACCTATCACTGTCAGTCCATAATGAGTAAAGATGAAGAAATGTACGTGGGTTTACTTTAAATGGGCAGCCAATGATACCTCAAGAGTGTAAGCTGTTGCTCTCAAACTGCTTTGTGCTCAACCTTGGGTTGCATCATCCTGGAGGTATTCCGGCAGGATGACAGGCCAATCCAATGCTTCTCATAGAAGAGTATTGGAGAACAATTTATTTAATAATTCTCTATGGCCGACCGTGACGGCACAGCCCATGCGCACGTGACATCACTATATGTTACTGTATGAGAGCTGGGAAGTAAGATTACCTATAGAGCTTGGAGATTTGGCTTTATTTCAAGCTTTTATTTAGATAAATAAAGGGTTTGGGGGGGTTGGACTGTGGGGGGGGGGAGGAAGGGGCAAGACTGCAGACACTATAACAACCTCAATAAGATGAAATTGTTAAAGTGCCTACACTGTTTCTTTAAGATTTGTTTCCTAACAAGGTGTAAATTATGATCAGATGTCATATTTTATTCACTTAATTAGTTCAAGACTTCTACTTTGGGAAGCAAAGTTAAGGGAACCCTGTGAACAGTGTACAAACATGTTGCATTTTGAAAGGAAAAAAGTCTTTTATGTGTCATTTTCATGGCTATAATGGAGGCAATATTGTCCCTAAAACAGAATTGTCACTGGAAATACATTGGCCTATAAATGTTCTACATGTAACATTCATAGTAAATTACTAATCTACTCATATACATTGTCAATCCTTTAGAACAATCATGTCAAACTCAAAGGCTAACACGGGCCAAATAAACACGGTTTAACCCCTTAAGGACGGAGCCAAATGTACACGTTGTGAACAAAACAAAATGTAAACAAAACCTGGCATTTGCGCTACATGTCTGTCCAACCGTAATACACCTCTTTCATAGTAAATGCACCTACCCTTATTATATATCATTTTATTCAGGGGAAACAGGGCTTTCATTTAATATCAAATATTTAGCTATGAAACATAATTTAATATGAAAAAAATGGGAGAAAATACGATTTTTTGGGATTTTTTTAGTTCTACATGACATTTTAACGGTCAGTGTCATAATACTGTTTGCTTTTACTGCAATAAAATACACATATTTGTATTCAGCAAAGTCTCACGTGTAAACAGTACCCCCTATGTACAGGTTTTATGGCGTTTTGGGAAGTTACAGGGTCAAATATAGCACGTTACATTTGAAATTGAAATTCGCCAGATTGGTTACGTTGCCTTTGAAACTGTATAGTAGCCCGGGAATGAAATTTACACCCATAATGGCATACCATTTGCAATAGTAGACAACCCAAGGTATTGCAAATGGGGTATGTCCAGTCTTTTTAGTAGCCATTTGGTCACAAACACTGGCCAAAGTTAGCGTTAGTATTTGTTTGTGTGTTAAAAATGCAAAAAACACCAATTTTGGCCAGTGTTTGTGACTAAGTGGCTACTAAAAAAGACTGGACATACCCCGTTTGCAATACCTTGGGTTGTTTACTATTGCAAATGGTATGCCATCATAGGGATAATTTTCAATCTTGGGCTACCATAGGGTCTCAAAGGCAACCTAACCAATCTGGCAAATTTTAATGTGAAAAAAATGAAACGCAAGCCTTATATTTGACGCTGTAACTTTTGAAAACACTATAAAACCTGTACATGAGGGGTACTGTTGTACTCGGGAGACTTCACTGAACACAAATATTTGTGTTTCAAAACAGTAAAAAGTATCATAGCAATAATATTGTCCGTTTAATGCTGTTTGTGCGTGAAAAATGTAAAAAACGTCACTTTTACTGGCGATATCATCGTTGTAATACATTTTACTGTTTTGAAACACTAATATTTGTGTTCAGCTAAGTCTCCCGAGTAGAACAGTACCCCCCATGTACAGGTTTTATGGTGTCTCGGAAAGTTATAGGGTTAAATATAGTGCTAGCAAATTAAATTCCCTTTACTTTCTGCATGGGTTGTCAGGCAGGTCCTGCTAATTGTAATTAATTAAGATACCTAATTATGTAAAAATATTACATAAATATATATGTAGAATCAATATATGTATATATATACGTATGTGTATATATATATGTATATATCTATATAATTTTTAAAAAATATTTTTATTTATATATAGGTATATATATAGTGATATATACGTATATATTTATGTGTATAAATATATATATTATTTCGTTCTATGTGTATTTTGATATATATATATATATATTAATTTCACAATACAGTTAGAACGAAATAACACACATCTATATATTTTTTAATTATTTATTTTAATTATTTTTGTAATTTTATTTTTTAACGTATTTACATTTTAATTTTTTTTATAATATATATAAATATATATATAACAATAATTATATATATATTTAATCAGTATCAGTGTACGTGTAATTTGATATTAATATATATATATAATTATATATATATATATTAATAGTAAAATACACCTAGACGGTGTACATGTGTGTATGTATATGTGTATGTATATACTTTGATCATATATATATAATATATATATATGATCTAAGTATATATTATTTATTTTTTTACACTATTTATTTATTTCATTTTTATTTTCAGCCAGCAGGGGGACCACCTGTCATTACAGGCAGCCCCCCTGCTGGCAATACAGAAGCCAGCTATCCCCGGCCATGTGATTGTGGGGTCCTCGCTTGGACCCCACTCTCACACGGCCGGGGGGCTTCCTGGAGGACGGTCGTGCCGCGGGGGGCTCCCTGGGAGTCCCCCCCACCGCGATCGCCGGCGTGGGACCGCCGGCGACCGGGTAAGTACAGAAAGACCGGAGGGCGTACTATTATGCCCGGCGGCGTTTAGAGCCGCCTATTAGAGGACGTAATAGTACGCCCTCCGGTCTTAAGGGGTTAAGTTCATGTGGGCCGCAAAAAAACAAAAACATTAGTTTTCATAGAAATGCAGGTTTAGGAAAGTACAGTATAAAAAAAGCCTAACTAACACTGGGTGTCCTCATGCTTGTAGGGGCTTCAGAGTGAACAAAAGAGCAAATTTATTTTAAGGAGACATGCATTTGCATATAACTAACTAGCCTAGATTCCACTATCATCCAGGAACGGACGGTAACTGGAACTGACTTCTGAACCACACAGACCTCTACAATAATAAACTGGATGCCATCTGGCACTATTCACTGAATCATACAGACTGCCTGGAGACTCCTTCCTGCTTTAGTGGAGAGGGATAGCTGCTTCAAATTCAGCTCTTCCCACTATCTTCTCTGACCAACACTATATCATTCAAGTTTCCTGTATAGGACTGGGGTGAGATCCATCCAATTTTTTCATTTATTCTTTTGTTTATTGGGATTCTTTCCCCATTTTTTATATATTTGGTTTTTTTTGCCTTTTTTTTTCTAATTTTTTCTATTATTATTTTTGACATTTTTTCCTCAGGATTGGAATAATATAGGCTATTTTGTCTGTACAGACTGCCATTGGTGGATCCACCCGACTATTTTTGCATTATTTTAATTATTGTAGATATGTATATAATAGATGTATAGAACAGATGTAGAGAGTCAGAATCAGATGTGGCATTATATGACAATTTTGTTCTGTGGTTCTTGTACCATTCTGTATAGCTATTATTATTATACTGAATAAATTTGACAAACTTTTGAATATATTAAAAGCTTTTTTTCATTAGACACAATTATTGTGTTTGAGTGCAGTATTAGTACCTATCATATTATAGCGCAACAATGGGTCAAGCTATAGAAAGAAGATCCAATAAACATTAAACGTATTTATTCATTCTCTAAGAGAAGTCACTGTGAACATTCCAATCCATTACAGTTTACTGTGATTATCATTGTTCCTGAGTGCTCCATCTCAATTGAAAATTACTGTATAGCACATACTATAATGCTATTACAGATCGGGATAATCATTTTACAATAAATAGTTCTTGAGCATTTCTAAGATCATAGAACTATAAGAGTTATGTCTTATAATATATGGATTAGACTGAAGAGAGATATATTCCATTAATTATTTGACAGATTGTGCATCTTTTGGCAGAGCATTTAAAGTTTTTAGAATATCTCTAAACTCTGATAATTACATATTCCTGTTTGC